GGGGACAGTAGAGTACTACATTCTCAGAGACACAGAATATCTAACGATTCGTCCATGAGATGACGACAAAAGTGGGACATGGAACGTTGGAAGACGCACAAAAGAGTTGGATGACGGTACCGAAGCGGCGGCACGACGGCTAAGCAGAGATGGGCACCGCCGGCGACGTATCGTCCTTCTTGCCCGCCTGCGCTTGAGCAATAGCCTTCTGCGCCGCGGTCTTCCTCTCCTCCATCTCCTTCACCTTCTTCTCGAGCTCCGCGGCCGTGGTCGGCGTCCCGTCCGGCCGCTTGAAGGTGACGCTCTTGTGGTGGCTCTGCGAGCCCATCGAACCCGCCTCCGGGTTCGGCACGTTCACCATCGGGCCCGTGGTCGCCAAGCCGCGGTGGAACGTAGTCGGGAGCACGCGCCCCTCAGGGTGCTGGTACTGGCAAGTAGCGCGCGTGCAGGCCGCACCAAACTTGCACGGGATGTTGTGGGTGGAAGCGGGGCGAGGGTGAGCGAAGGAGCAGCCGGGACGAGTGCAGGCAGCGCCGTATCTGCACTGCACCGCGTTTTGTGCCGCAGGGGCGGACGCAGATGGGGGGATGTAGGTCGAAGGTTTAGGCACTTCGGCTGCACGACGCGTAAGGAATGGGGGTGTGAAGTAGAATGGGAGAAGTACGCACCATTGGGGTTGAGCACAGCGGGGCTGACATGCGACTTGATGCAGTCCTTGTCTTTGCAATCCTTGCCCTTCTCGCACGCCTCGGTGCTGAGGACGACACCGCTCTCCGCGGTCGCGACAGGGGATGGGTGCGAGTATCGGCAGATAGGGTTCGTGCACTTCGTGCCAAACTTGCATAGCGTGGGTGACTGGGGACGTGCTGGAGGAACGAAGCCCGGGCGCGCCGAGCCTGTGGATGAAGACGGAGTCACTGGGGTTGGAGCGACGATAGCAGGAGCCGAGGCTGAGACCGGTATTGTTGGAGCGACAGCTTGTGCCGGAGCAGACGTCGCGGGTGCTGGAGGAGAACCGGCAGCTGGCATATCGGTGGTCGGGTGGTGTCCTGCATGTCCCCCACGGCCTCGTCCTGCACCTCTCGCGCTCCCGCCACGTCCTCTGCCTCGCCCGCGTCCACCATCTCCAGCCCCAGGACCCATACCACCGTTTACGCCATTGAACTGCTGGTTCATGTCCATACCAGGCTGCATCGGGAAGCCGCCGTTGTTGATGAACTGGCCAGTCGCGGGGTTCATGATGCCCATAGCGCCAGCGATTTGCGACATCATGGCCATCTGGTTGAGCATGAGCTCCTGAAGCATCATCGGATTTGCCATGCTCATCGCAGCCATGTCCATACCGCCCATACCGTTCATCGGGAAGCCGCCGTTCATCATCATCATGTTCGGGTCTGGCGAGCCGTTCGTGATGCTGTCGATGCGCGCTTGAACGTCGTCATGGGGGTTGAAGTGTGGACCGTGCCCGCCACCGCCGCGCGGGCCCATGCGATCCAACAGGCTTCGTGGGCCGTGCCCGTCACGGTCGCGGTCGCGTTGCATGGCGCGGGGGCCGGTGGGAAGGTCCATGCGTCTTGACTTCGCTGGCGGGTGCCCGGCTGGCGAGGGTGAGCGAGCGGAAGCAGTGCGTTTCTGACTGGTGGGAGAAGTGGTAGGGACGGCTTGGTTGATAGCTTGCTGATATAGCGGCGCGCCCGGGCGAGGGCCGCTCGGCAGTCGACGACTGTCCGCGGCTTGGTGAGGCGGCGAGTCGCGTGCGGGCTGAGAAGAGGTTGAGGGCTCGGCTGCAGCGGGGCCATCTCCATCTGCTTGTGGTGCACCTTTGCTTGCTGATTCAAACAACCAATCGACGAAACCGCTGATATCTGGGCGATCATGAGTAACATGCGCGAACAGCAGACGTGGCGAAGACGTACCGCCTTCGTTGTTGACCACTAACGACATCACGAGAAATTCAGTACTGCATACAAACCTCAACTCAAATGGTACTCACAGTCTACCAACTCTGCCTCGATTTGGGCTGTAGTGATACAAGTCAGTATGTTTTGCCTCCGCCCCTCGAGTAACCAGGCGCAGGGTGACAACAAGTATGTGCGAGAGCAGTAGTTGTGCCCCCGACAAACTGTCTGCCTTGCACAACTCCTGTTCAACGCATGCATGCAAGAAAGAGCATGTAAAATATATGCACAATGATGGGTGCGTTGAAGGGAGGGCGGTGCGCGCCGCCAAAGCCAAGCGTCACGCGTTGTGAAGGCGCGTGTCTGTGCCCAACCTCCCACCAACGGATCGACTCCAGTCCACCAAAAATGCACTAACACTTCTGATTCCATGACCCAAATCAATTTGCGCATACCAGCGCGAGTCCAATCCTGACTTCCACCCCCGCCGCCCTCGCCGCGAGTTCGGTGCAAACCACCCTGCAGCACCCTGCGCCCGTTCCGTTCACAGCGGAACTGTAACTCACCTGGAGTCTTGTTGTTGATGATCATGATGGTCACATACTCGGCCATGACGGAGTCTTGCACCCTAGGTCAGTCTCTAGATGATCGTCCGAGCAGACGACACTTACCTGGCTCCGTCCCTAGACCCCGGTTCACTAACTCGCTCTCAATCTGGCTCTGCAGCGCCGTCGCGCGGTCCGTTCCCATCGTGAGGCCAAACGCCATGTTGCGGTGAGGACGAAAGAGGGAAAGGAATGGGAGGTGGTGGTGGTAGGAGGGAGAGAAGCAATGAGTAAGTAGTAAGACGCCGGATAGCAAGGATTAACTCACACGGCAAGCACACAATTGTATCTCCGAAAGGGATTGGTAACTCTTTCTTACTTTGGGTAACTAGCCGCGTTAAGAGTTGTTACTAAGATTACAACACATAATAAACTTCATTCGAGCCGCAATGGCGGTAACGCATCCTGACCTATCTTGACTCTAGACTTCCACCTGCCCCTTGCTCTGTTGCTCACCTTCGTGTCGACAGAACCATGCCTCTCATTGAAGTGAGTACTGGATCTGATATGTATGGGCTGGCACTGACCAAACACTTGCTTTAACGCCACTGCTCTCACTGGGGGGACGTAGGTAATTGCCAACGATCGTCTCGGGCGCAAAGGTGCGTAGCGTGCCTCACAACCCGATTGATACTGAACAAGGCGCGTGTTTGCTGCAGTGCGCGTGAAGTGCAGCCCCGATGACACCGTGGGCGATCTCAAGCGACTCATTGCTGCTCAGACCGGTACCGATCACACGAAGATCCAGCTCAAGAAGTGGTGCGTTTTACATCTGTTGCATCCCTGCGATACGTGTGTGCGGTGGGCGATTGACCCCGCGTTTGACCATGCAGGTACACGATATACAAGGACCACATAACGCTCGCGGACTACGAGATTCACGACGGGATGAGTCTCGAGATGTACTAGTCTGCCCACCGCGCCTCTTGGCTGAGCAAGATGGGGCCCGTCGAGGTGTTATTTCTGCCATGATGTCTTTTGAAGCTGCTGTTATGATCGTTCCCGTCGCTCCGATGATGTGGATGTATTGGTGATGTATCAATAAAGTTCAATTCCTTTCTACAATCCCCACACGCTCAAGACCTTACTATCCTCGACATGTGCAACCGCTGTTGGGTCATGGTCATTGACATTACTCAATACTGTACAGGTTGCATCCTTATCGTTCCACGATCCTATCTCCCCGACGAACACCTTCAAAACGGCCGCCCAGCCCGAATAGCCTTTGCCGCCTCGCTCTGTGCCTCGTCGCGGAGGTACCTTGCGTAAATCTCCGCGTAATGCTCCTTGTCCTGCAGAAGTCGTCAACACGAAAGCAACACCGCGCCTCCACATCCGACATACGCTTTGCGTCTGGAGCACGCTTGCACGGGTCTCCAGCTTCGCCGCATACTCCTTCCAGCCATTTCCAACCGCATCCCGGTCGTATCCTCGGTTCTCCTTCAAAATATAGTCCCGCAGGACCCACGGCGCGAGCGCAATGTCGACGAGGGTGAACTCCTCCCCAAAGAAGTACGGGCCCTTGACCTTCTCGCAGAGTGTGCGGATCGCCTTGTAGAACTCCTCGAGGCTTGCCTGCTGCTTGTCCGCCTCCTGCGCCATGACGGTGCGCATAAATCCTGGCACGATCTGCTTGTCGACGTGCGCCGTCCAGAGCCGGACGTATGCGCGGTCAAACGGGTCGGAGGGGAGGATGTGCGGGGAGTACTGCGGGAAGGCGTCCTCGAAGAACTCGCAGAGGATGAGAGACTCGTACATCGCCTTGCCCTTGTACTCGATAGCGGGGACGAGGCCCTTCGGGTTGATGTCTGTATGTACGATGAGTGAAAATCGCAGCAGATCTAGTCCTACGACCCGACGTACCGAGGAAATGCTTCTCTTTCTTGTAGGGGTTCACCTCCTTGTATTGGTATGGGATGCCCTTCTCTTCGAGCGTGATCCAGCTCCGTTGAACATATGGGCAAAACTGATGGGAGTGTCAGAAGAGAAGTCGTGCATTCACGTCTCCCGAGGTATCTCACCCAGCCCGCATAGAATACCAACTCTTGCGGCTCCTGGTGCTTTTCTACCGTCTTCGCCGCATTCCCCGTAGCGTGGGGGTAGATTTGCTCATCGGAGGAACCCATTGCAGTCTATGATAGATGGGAAGAGCTGAGGGTGGTGAATCTGGTGATTCCATCCAGCCGCTGTGCTTTATGATAAGTGGTGTATCCCAGGGAGTCTATGTATATATGGCTTACTCATGTCGTGAGTAAGAAGTTGCGCGATTGAAGGACTGATTACATTACTTGGTATGACGTCAAAGTGAAGACATGCTTCCCATACTACATGGCCCAGAGTCACCGCAAGCTTTAGGATGGTACTGGAACCGAAGCAACAAATCGAGGCTACTCAGTTCGATGGGTCGAATGGCATGCAGACCCATGTTGCTGATATCATGATGGTGGTAAGGTACAGGCTAAACGATATGGGTGGTATTTTTGTATCGGATCACACATCCCGTTTAGCTCAGTGGTAGAGCGCATCACTTGTATAAGCAGATGATGAGGTCAGTCGTTCAATCCGGCTAACGGGAACATATATGGTATACTCATCCGTTTTGCAACCAGAAAAGGTCCTTCAGGTCGGCAATTGGAATATACTGGGTGCACCGCTGGTCTTTTGCTGCGATACATCTTTTGTGACCTTCGTACATCCCATGCGTTGTGGAGAACACAAGTATTCGTCATTGAATCAATAAGTGGAAGGGGCGCTGTATATTAGTCTCCAAAGTGTGTACGAATACATCCGACTCAGAACGGTTCTCCGCGCAAGAGTTCTCTGTTCTCTCCGATCACTATACGCAACGCATGGCCCGACCATGGAGGTAACCTGCGCTTTCCAGGGGTCTCCTCGTAGCCACTTGTGACACCGTCTCCAAAGAACACATATCCTGGTATATAGCGGTCTACAAATCTAGTTCACAAACTTAGCGTATCGTTCAGGAGACGAAAGGGAGATACGTACTTCTCCACTTGCTCATCAGCCATACCTCTCCCGCCATTACGCTCCTTCATGTAGTGCTCTTGCTGTAGCCTCCACCGGTAGATGAAGTCGTACGGATGGTTGTCAGGGGGTTTGATCTGTGGTATAGTCCATCCAGTCGGCGTGAGCTCACGGGTATGTAGGACTTGGACTAGTAAACGAGAGAACGTACCTGGATGAATGTATCGAACAGGTCCCACCAAGAGATATACCCCTTGAGGCGCTCGTTAATATCGAGCACATCCTCCATGTGGTACCCTCTCTTTTCCAGGAAGCCTTCCTCAAGCCCAGGCAATGGTCGCGTCCACCGCCTTTCGACTTCCTCCGGAGATATCGGGTAGAAACCCACACACCAGCCCTCGAACAGCACGACGTCCACAGGCGGACGCACCACTGTCCCGTCGGGCGCACGATCGCCCTCTCCATCGAACAAGCTTTTGTCAAAGCTCGGGAGCTCAACCCCAGGTCCGTCAGCGGGAGACTCGTTGATGCGCTTGAGCTTGGTGAGGACCTCGGTTCCGAGCGGGATGTCGTGCGTCCCGGGCTGTCCGCGGCCTTTCAACAGGCCGTTATCCGGGTACGCTTGGGCAACAGCGACGAGACCGTCGTGCGGGAGATAGAGGTCGTCGAGAGACAGGACCGTGACGGAGAGGTTATGTGGCGGTGCTTGGAGAGTGTCCCTGAGGATGGAGGTGAGGTAGGTCTTCCCGCTGCCTTGGGGACCTTGTACTCCGACAAGTAAAGGAGGAGCCGCAGGTCTGTCAACACTTGGAGATGCATGTCGTGCGCGATGGGCCTGCAGTTGCGTGAGGACGTGCGAGCTCATATGGCGGATCGCCTCCGGAGGAGACGCCTCAGCGCCCGCACTGGCAGGAACAGTCTGCAATCGCGCAGGTCGTCAGCACAAGTATGAACTGAGCAATCCATTTGCGCAGTACCTCTCCTGTCATCGCGATATCTGCCGTCGTCGTCGTGAGCGATAAAGAGGCGGTGGTGGACTCGCGACCCTTGTGACCCCGGGCCGGCCTCTGCTCGCGACATGGGGGCGAGAGCGTCTGTCGGAGTTTGCCGCGCGAACACTTGTCGCGCAGTTCTCCATCCGTGTCCACGTCGCCCGCGGCCATAGCACCAACTACCTCCTCTTCCCTCCTCTCTCATCCTCGGCCTTTCCTCCCGGCACTAACGGTCGCTATCTTGCACAATCCACAAAATGATGTCCTCCTCGGATCCAGATGCAACGGCAGGGCCATTTCAGCCGCTCATGGCGCACTATGCGAAAGGACAGCGGCAGTATCAGCAGTGGCTGGACAAGGTCACCCCCTTCGTGCTGTATAGATGGTTGGGAACCGCGGGGTTGCTGTCGTTGTTTATGCTGAGGATTGTATTTGCGCAAGGGGTGAGTTTCCATCACTTTCACCCGGCCAGAGTGCATGTTTTGACAGGAGTGTGGACTGGATGAACGTTTGGGGTTGCAGTGGTATATTGGTGCGTCATCCTTTGCATTGCGATGCTTTTCATGTGCTGACAAATAGCTTGTAGTATGCTGTACGTGCTCGTCACAACTACATGTCTAGGACTAGAGACTGACCCTCGCCACGAAGACGCACACGCCATCTACCTCTTGAACCTCTTCCTCGCGTTCCTGCAACCGAGGTTCGACCCATCATTGCAAGACGACCTGCTCGCGGATGAGCTCGAGGAGGGCGAGGAGGGCTCTGCCTCACCGCTGCCTTCGCAGCGCGACGACGAGTTCCGCCCGTTCGTGCGGCGGCTGCCTGAGTGGCAGTTCTGGTGCGTCCAGTCTCATCTCTGTTCCCATACATTGAACACTGACGGCGAGGGACAGGCTGTCCGCGACGCGCGCCACCATCTTTGCGCTCTTCGCGTCGTTTTTCGAGATGTTCGACGTCCCCGTGTACTGGCCCATCCTGGTCGTGTACTTCTTCGTCCTCTTCGCGCTCACCATGCGCCGGCAAATACAGTACGTACCGCATCATCAACTTGACGTTCACGGGAGGTGGCGCGCTGACGTACGCCGTAATGACAGACACATGATCAAGTACAAGTACGTGCCCTTCGACCTCGGCCGCAAGGCGCGTTACGGCGGCGGACACAGGTGAAGAGCGTGGCGGGGGTCTACCACGATGTGTATGTAGTGAGTACATCTACCGAAGTGGCTTTGACAACCTTTGTTGATGCTCGCCCTCTTGTCCGCCCCTTAGGAAGCCCGTCGGATGTGCTTGCTATGACATAGAACGATTTGCTACGCCTATCATACCGGAATGTTCTATACACTCGACCTAATGCAGGGCGGACTGTCTGTACGACCAGTGTCCGATAGACTTTTACCGATCAATTGGTTTCGACTCAGTCACCTTCATTCGCAAGCCATGAAACATTTACTTGGGCAGTAGTTAGCGTACTATCACATATACCAAGTACACTCACTGTACACGGCCCTGTCGGGCAGGGGCTTGTTACTAACATGCACAAACAATGCCACGCTACATGACGAAAATGCGGGGTACATCTTGGGTACATACACTTGCAAGTATACCCTCGACCGTCATAACCACAAGTTGTGCGTGTGCCATACCATGCCATCCTTCCTGTTGGACGTCCATAAAGCACAGGTGGTGTACGATGGTGCGTAGCCTGGCGCTTGTGACCACAAGGTTCACGGTCTAATGTTGCACGTTAGCTGCACGAAAGTGGTTTACCATAGTTCCGCCCTTCTTTCTTCCACCACAGTTCTTCGTGGATGCGCCATTTGGCCGGTTCGCAATACTTCAGAAGAGCATATTATCGGTTGACGGTGAGCATTTCTAGCCGTCTTCATACCCACCATCCTCATCCGCTGCAGGCATCCGCTCATGGATATTCATGGAGCTCGTGTCCTTCGGCACGTTCATATACACGTACACGCACTCCCCACTCTCTCCCGAGGCTGTCGGAACCTCTCCGCCGCTCACCCTTACGCACCCGCCCACGTTCCTCGCGGCCCTCTTCCTGACGCACTACCTCAACCGCGCCCTTATTTCTCCCCTGCGCACGCCCTCCCGCTCCACATCGCACCTTTCCGTCGTCCTCTCCGCAGTCGTTTTCAACACGCTGAACGGCTCGCTCCTCGGCGCATACCTCTCCTCCCCACCCGCGCAGGCCTTCCTCGCCGGCGCCTTCCAGCGCCCGCTGTTCTGGTTCGGGGTCGCGCTCTGGGCCGCCGGGTTCGCAGGGAACATCTACCACGACGAGATCCTGCTCAACATCCGACGCAACGCCAAAGCGAAGGGCAAGGACAAGGCTCCCGGCGCCAACGCCGACGCCGACGACAACAACGGCAAGGACAAGAAGAGCAGGGGCGAGCACTACGCGGTCCCGCACGGCGCGCTCTACCGCTTCATCTCGTACCCGAACTACTTCTGCGAGTGGGCAGAGTGGCTCGGGTTCGCGCTCGCCGCGGCCCCCGCGCCGTCGTTCGTGTCCGTCGCTGCGTTCACGGCGAGCGTCACCCCGCCGTGGATCTTCTTCTTCAACGAGATCTGGGCCATGCTCCCGCGCGCGTACAGGGGCCACAAGTGGTACCACAACCGCTTCCCGGACTATCCCAAGGAGCGCAAGGCCGTCATACCTTTCGTGTTGTAGATAACCTCGGGTCCCTGTGGACGTTTGCTCTGAAGCCTGGACATGTACGCGGATATCCACGTTGGACTGTTGTATACCGGCCCCGCAGACATTCGATCCCACACTTTCGTATGTAGTAGCGAGAGGCGTAGCAGATCACAGTATTTCATGTGTTGTTGTTCCATAGTACGATGCCCAACCCAGCCCCTTTTGCTCTGCGCTGTGCCATGTTGCGAGGTGAGCCCAAATGCAGATCCGCTGCCTGTCACAGCGAACCATAGCTAGAGCTAGAGTGGCCAACCAGCCGTCTACCCCTTCCACAACCGACAGCCCGACTTATCCAATGCCTTCTTGACTTTCGGCTCCCTCCGGTTGGGCGAGAGCGCGAGGCACGTCGGCACGTTCTCCGGCTGTTCGACCCAGAGGTGGTACGGGACCGGGGGATCGCACCCATCGAGCAGCTTTGCGAGTTTCTCGATGCTCGCCTGGTCTGTGGTCTGCCCATGGCAAGCGTGTGTGCATGATGATGTAGTTTATGCGTGCGTGGTGAGCACTGAGTGCATGCACGGCGGAGGGCAACAGCGTGGCGGCGTACCTGCATGACAACCTGGCGGGGGATGCATGTCAACATCACTACCAGTCAGAGACTATCAAGAGGAGGAGGCAGGTCGCACCTTCCGCATGTTCTTGAGGTCGTCCATGTATGCCTGCGTCTCTGGACGCTCGCGGGTCTCGTGCAAGACCTACATTGGCATCATCAGGGGTCAGCATCTCAGCCTCAGCCTCTCGACCATTCTGAGAAGCGAATGACAGTAGAACTTACAGCGGATGTCGCATGCGCAACCTGCGCCATCAGCGGGCCCACACCCCAGCCTTCGGCCTGTCCTGCGCGAAGCCGCGTTCGCCATCGTCATCGTCACCATACAGATGT